CTCAAATTGCTTCAAAAAAATAATTTGTGAACTTTTTTTATTTAAGTTTAGTATAGAGCTATTGGTCCATTGGTTATTGTTGTCTGCTAACAGTTATGTAAGTATGCGTGTAAATAACAAGTAATATGAGACTTATTTGAGTCTCACTTATAGTTCCTACAAGAATTTTGATGTTTTTAATTTGATTAAAATTTATAATTTCTATAACTTAATTTAATCTAATACGAAAATAATAATAAAAGTAAAAAGAAAATAATCAAAAGACTACTTTGAAATAGCAGAAAATATGTTACTATTTTTTTAAGGCTTTTTTGGATTTGTTTTTTGGATTCAGTTTCAAAAGGGTGGAGCCGTGGAGAATAATAAGAAATCAAGTTAAAATTAAGTTGTTTGTTTTTTATGTAAGAATTTTTTATTTGAAAAAAATATAAAACAGAAAATTGATTAAAGGCTAAATCAGAAAAATAAGTTGATGAAAATATTAAAAAAAAATAGGTTCAGCCTTTAATTTCCTTTCCCCACAGTACTAAAAAAATGATTTGATTAACAATTTGTTCACTAAAAAATCCAGGAGAACTCTATTGCTAACTCTTAATCCCGTAAGAATTATTTTATCCAAGATTTGCCACATGCATATCTCTATGCACATAGAATCTGGAAGAGCATCATCAACCATTTGATCTGCATCCACGTGTACCTTCTTAGTTCTTACTCTCCCGATTTGCTCGATCCTTCTCTCACATGCACCTTCACGCTCCGCACTATTTGGATGATTTTTGTTTGAGAATAGAACGAAAAGTAATTTTATGGACTATGGGTTCAAGGAATCAGAATGGGGTGCTGGCTAAGACACGATTGCGATGTGGTCTGACTGTCTCAATGAACCAGGGAGAGAATGGGTTAGAGGGTTCCTTTGTTACTTGGTTCACATTTCTGATTCGGTGGTTATATTTACTATTTATTTTTATTTATAATTTCTTATAATTATATCTTAATTGTTGATTTCCGTCGTTAATCAACGGTTAAGATTTTCACAAATTAAATTTATTAATTAATTATTAATTCACAATAAATGACAATCGTTGATGGATAAAAATCAACAATTAAAATATAATTGTAAGAGTTTGTAAACTATTTTGGTTGTAAATATAACTTTTCTCTTTAGATAATCATGCGTCGATGGTTCCTTTTTTCTTTTTCTTACTTTGACTGCTTTGTCCCAACTGTCCTGTGTTTTTCCGAATTTGACCCTGCAGAGTGGATTACATGGGCTGATTATGATCCTTGAGTTTGGGCTTCAAAATTCTACATAAACATTCAATTTGTTCAGCCCATCAGTCTTGTATCAAAATAAAACAATAAAATCACATTAGCATGAGTTACGTTACACAAAGGATGAATGATGGTCAGAAGAACCCTACGAAGCACCGACTCCGACACGATGTTTTCAATACGTTTTTTGATATGACCGTTAATTCGTCAATATGATGCAATACGTTTTCGATACGCGTATCGGATACATTGGAAAAAAAAATTCGAGTATCGGTACTTCATAGGAAGAACCTATCAAGCATGAATGATGGTCATTTAGCCATCATGTTATGCATAACTCTGTTTTATACTATGGTATAAGGTGGTGTTTGGTTGAGAGAGTTTTCAAAGTTTCCTATGTAAATGAATGAAGGAATCCAGAAATGACTTGTTTGGTTGAATATATTCAATCTAAATACCCAGCTATCCTATTTGCATTGCTTTTTTCCATTTGCTGGTGGAATGATAGGTTTTGTCACTGTTGAAAAAGGTAGAGAAATTGTTAGAGACCATTATACCCTCTCAAAAAGGAAACTTGTAGCAATAGTTACCTCTCTTGCCAAAGCATCCTCGGTTCTTGCTCTCTTCTTATCCTTTTTGTAACAGAAATAGACACAGGAGACTTGTAGCACGACTTCTTGGGTGGCAGACTCCGTCATTGGAGCATTCTAACTTTGAAGTCTTTGGATTCAATTGTATTGTTTTGGCTAATTTAACTCTGGAATTGGATGCTTCTTGTTTCTGTAGTGCACTGTTAAAATATGAACAATACCTTGAAAACTAAAATTACAATGAGCAAAAAGAGGCCTCAAAAAGACAAAATCTCAAACATAGATTTTTGTAATACCAAACATACCGTAAAAAAATAAAATAAAATCAAGGTTATTTTCGTAATACCAACTTGTTTTCCCATCTATATTTTACCTTCATCCAAACATAGATTTCATAAAAGTTGCCTAATTTTCCCAGTAAAGTTTTTCCTCACCAAACAACTTTTTTTTACATTTTCCTACTTATCTCACTTTATCTCACTTTTCAACCATTTTCCTATTAATTACATTTTCCTAGTATTCAAAATATTTCTCCAAGGAAAAGGAAAATCATGATAGCAAGAAAATTCCACAACAATAATGAGTCATTGCTGTTTAATTGAATGTCAAATATCTACTTATCGATACAATTATGTTGACATTCCTTACTTTAGTGTTTAATTTTTATGTTTTCCAATTTGTCATTGTTAATTACTCATAAATAATATCAAGGAAAATATATATAAAAAGATAAAAATATAAATACTTCTTATCAATAATTTAAAAATTTAAAGATAAAGATAAAAAGTATAAATAAATCTTATTATTTAAAAATCTGAAGATGAATATCAAAGTATTCTAAATATATCTTATTATATGAAGATCTCAGTATTTAAAAAAAAAAAATTAAAATAACTATGTTAAACTTAAACACATTTTATTATTATTTTTTATCCTAACATATATTATATTAAAATTTGAATTGACAGGTTATAAATTTGCTGAAGGAAAATACATAATATCAAAGGTTGTGTTTGAATTCTGCTACGAAAATAAATTTTTAGTTTTCAGAATAAAAAAAACCTGTCTAATTATATTTATTTTGTAAAAAGAGATAGTTATATTAGTTACTTATTTAATCTTCCTTTCCTTTCTAACTTTTTTTACCTTTTGATTGGATTCAAATCAACAGTTGAAAGATAGAGAAATAAAAGATACATGGGTGTCCTCACCTAAAAAAAAATAAAAAATACATGGGGGTGTTTGATAACAAAAAGCCTTGTTTGGAGATTATGAAATTTTTTACAGTGTGCCAATCTAATTATGAAATTTTACTAAAAGTACTTTTGTAAATAACAGCAACTTTTTTATAACTTCAAATTTAATTATAGTCAAACAAATTTTATTCTTTTTTTACTTTCAGAATCAGTTTTCAAAATTTATATTCAAAACAGATTTTAAAATCAGTTTTCACCCATAATTTGTTGAGAAAAGTATGGAAGAGAGAAGCAAAATGGATAGGTGTGTAACTGTTTTTCTTTTAATATTATATTTGAAACCGTCAATTTAAATCCAATCCAACAATAAAAAAATAATTAAAGTAGAAAGATTAAATAGGTAGACAATATAACATAAAAATATTTCCAAAAATTATATCTATATTATAAATTTTAGAATCAAATTTAAAGAACACGGGTATAGGATTCTGTTCAAATTTAAAGAACATGAGTCTATTTGGATTCTGTTTACAAAAAACAGTTTTTAAATTTTCAACAATTTTTTTTTTATTGTGCCTATCTTTTTCTTATGCCTACTCATCTCCATCCTGTTTTATAATGCCTATTTTGTAAAAATAATTCTAGGATATTATGCTACCTTTTCTTATGTCCCTCTACATATTCATTTTCAACACTATCAGTATTTAAAATGAACAGGTATAGATGTATAGTAGGTATAAGAAAGATAGTCACAATTTCCGGTTAAAAAAATACAGAAAATACTTATTTCATTAAGTACTGTACAAAATAGTTTAAAAAATAAAAAAACTTAACACAATCAAAGATACCCAAAATCTCTAGCTTCAAAGACATTTACATAACTAGTTAAATTGCCACATACAAGTATATAACCAAAAAAACAAACTGTCACCTATAATAAAAATAGGCAATTCTGTCAGAAACTATTTTTTTTAATATATCATCTAATTATTTAAATTTTTTATTCATCAATATCATATTATGAAAAGAGAATGCTACAATGTATTTTTTTTTTTGTTAGGATTTATATCACTATCTATGAAATAGTCATCCATGGACGACCACTTAACTTCTTCAGTGATTATTATTATGGAGAAACAATTTTAATCAACAAAAGTAAATAATAATTTAAAAATGTTTGAGACTAGCAATAAACAATTTATTCGAGAGAAAAAATATAACACTTCTAATAATTTCTTTTACCATTCTTAACTAATAGTGAAAGACCGATAGTAGCATAAATTCATATTTGGTGATGCTCTGATCCATCAATGGGCCACAACTACTAGAATATAACAGATTAAATAACTAATTAATTCAAATGCTAAGGGATATTTTATCCATGATCTTATATTAAGTTCTCCTTTAAATTTTCACATTTATCATAAATAAAAGGTTAAGCATATCATGTACATGCAATTCAAATACTAACGGATATTTTATCCATTATCCTATCCCAAATCCCCACTCAAATTCTCATTTTTTTTAATAATTAAAGGATTAAACATAGAGAAAAAAGAAAAAGAATGTTATAAGAAAGTTGTTAGATTATGTTATAGAGATAGAGATTATGAGATTCACACTTATTTCCAAATAACAAAAAAAACAAAACAACGTAACTGAACAACTTTCCAACAACATTGTATTTCTGTTTCCCTTAAACATATAATATATGGGTAATTCAAATTTAAGGGGTATTTGTCATTATCTTATCTCAACAAATTGATTTCCAGCGAAACTCTCATATTGTTCTATAAATAAGGGGCTAAGGTAGTTGAGTGAAAAACACCCCAACCGAAAGAGCAGAGAGAAGAAGCAAGCTGCTAAGCGAGAAAGTCAAAACAGCATTATTCTCAGTATCCAAGAAGCATATCAACCCTTCCACGAAATTGCATTTGAAAACATGAATATGAAAGTTTTTGGACTCCTCAAACTCAACATGATGCTGCTGGTGATAGTAGCATTGATCAACTTGAACATTGTTTCTGGCTTTGCTCACGATATTCATGGACTTGGAGACCAGCCACTCTCCAGAATTGCCATCCATAAAGCTGTTGTTTCTCTCCACAGTAATGCCTCCATTACAGCCTCCTCTCTCGGAGTCTCCCCTTCTCTTCTCGGCACACAGGTAACATAACATGTTCCTTAAACTTTGCTCATGCTCTCATATCTAAGATAAAACATTAATTTGGAAAAGTCAAAGTGTTATCGTGTTTTATAACCTACTTGGTTTAATTTCTTCTTAGTTGACTCACTACTAACGTGCCTTGATGTAAATGATTTCAGGGTGAGGATACCGAATGGGTGACAGTAGATCTTACTTACCCTGAACCATCTGGGAATGATTGGGTTGGAGTTTTCTCTCCCGCAAATTTCAAGTAATGCACGTCTCTCTTTCTCATTATGTACTTCTATTGATGAATATTGCATAGAACTCACCACCACACAAAGTACAGAAATTTTCAAATCTAATTTATTTCTAAAGCATACACATCTAATTATCGCTAAAAAGAACTAAATAACAATTCTATTTTATTTTATTTTCAATGGCAGTTCAGCAACCTGTTGGCCTCAGAATGAACCAAAAGATCAGACCCCGTATATATGCTCAGCCCCCATAAAGGTGTGTGACATATTAATCTATATTATTGGATTAACTTTCTAAGTGGTGCATAACTCGTGATTTATTTGAATCTTTGTACCAGTTCCAATTTGTGAGTTACCACTACCCGGACTATACAAAGACAGGAAAGGCAACTTTGAAGTTCCAGTTGATCAATCAACGTGCAGATTTCTCCTTTGCGTTATTTACACGGGGAATAGGGAATGTAAATACAGGGGCTCTTTCAGTTGTTCTTATATCTGTTATCTTATCTCTACTAAAGCATACTCATGTTATATTGAGTCTCACCTTAGATGTAGCATGACTATTTACAAATCCTGTATGTTATGTATACGATTATATTATGTTGTGTGCTAACTAGTAATCTTCTGATTGAACACTGCAGCCTAAACTTGTGGCTATTTCCAATTCCATAACATTTGTCAATCCTAAAGCGCCTCTGTATCCACGCATTGCTCAAGGGAAGTCTTGGGATGAAGTAAGTTTATCTTCATGCTTTGAGGTCCTTGATATTATGCTCATCCAAGTAATAGTTTTCATTTTTCGTATTTCTCATATTGTGTCTTTAATTCCGTGATGCAGTTCTTTATGTGAAGGTTAAGTTAAAATTAACAAGTATCCCACAACTCAGATATGTGGAGCTAATAAATTTTGAACGCACACCCACCAATGATAATAGGATTCTGAAAAGATATCATTAGACTTTCTAGGTTTGACATGATACTTTAGAAATATGAATTGATGCTATTTTGATTTTTAAACATACATTCTGGAACCATTATTAGGACTACGCAAGTGATTTCAGGATTGATGGTCTTGTCTTATGCAGATGACCGTTACCTGGACCAGTGGATATGACATACATGAAGCTACACCCTTTGTTGAGTGGGGTCTTCAGGGAAAAACTCAAGTGCAATCTCCGGCTGGAACATTGACATTTGCTCAAAACAGCATGTGTGGTACGGTTTATTTAATCTGCTTAGCATGCCAGCACATTGGGTTTTTATTAAATACATAGTCTGATCCAGTTAGTATTTTTCAGAAAATCTGAATGATAAATTGAATTTCTGATTGGCATTCTGTAGTTTTGTAAACCCTGGATAAGAGTCATCATGGGCATTAAGTAATTTGAAACTGAATAAACTGAAATCACGAGGTTTATATAGATCTTCCCTCTAAAACCCCTTCTATAATGTTCCCTATAATGTGTCATCATAACATACCGTGGAGCACAAATTTATTTTCCAGAAAATTGTACTAGAGTGTCACCTAATGAAATCATTGAAATGGAGGGTGGAAGGGTAAGAAACAAAGAACTGAAAATATAAGTTGTAATACCAAATAAGCTTTCAGGAAGCAGAAGTCAGTCCATGGCCAGTAATGCTTTTCCTGTTTGAATTGATATCAAATATTGTTTCTTTTGTTTTTGGTACAATTTGATAACGATTCATTGCAAGTTATTGCTTCCTTGTGCACCTGGAACTAAAAATGTTGGAATGTTAATTATGTCTCGGGCTCGGCTATATGTTGGAAACATGGACTCTTATACACAAATTGCTTCTTTTTATTCTTTTGAAAATGGATCCCCTTTCAATAGAAATTGCATAATGTGGTTGTTTTGCTACTCTAACTCTGCAGGAGCACCTGCAAGAACTGTTGGTTGGCGTGACCCTGGTTTCATACACACAAGTTTCCTCAAAAATCTGTGGCCAAATCAAGTGTATGCATTTAGATATCCGTTTATGTTTATAACACAATGAGGAATTGGCAGAGTTTGATCTATAGTTTTTCTAAAAAAATATATTTTTCAGGTATACATACCGATTAGGGCATCTTTTGTCTGATGGTTCATTTATTTGGAGCAAGATGTTTTCATTCAAGTCATCACCTTATCCTGGACAGGACTCACTGCAACGTGTTATCGTATTTGGTGACATGGGAAAGGTAATGTTAATTGTTTAGAAAAATAAAATTTATATAAAGAGAAAGAAGATTGTCTGAAATTGTCTTTGGGAGGAAGAACCTAGTATGCTCAAACCAAGTGCAATCTCTAGGCATATGTTAATGTATGGACAAAGTAAGTATCTTTACCACTGATGACTTTATCAAGAAAAATACAAAATGTGAGACTTGAATTTTACATCAAACAAACACAAAATTCTAAGTTAGAAATATACAGTACCCTCAAGATATATCAAATTATCAAGGTATTGCCAAGAAACCAAGTGTTTTGGATATGAATGTGGGCCAGGTTATGGCCCATAACGGTGGCTATGAACCCGTTTGATGGGATTTTTTATTACTGAGATTTTTTTTCAAAATAAAAAAGAAATACTATTTTTTTTTTCCCAATTACAATCTCAATTGTTGTTGCGGTTGTCACTACCACCATCACCAAATATTATTTTATGTATTCTATTTAATAATTTTAGGCGTAAAATATTTTTTTTTAATTTTCACATCCAAATAATTTTTTAAGTTAAAAGTATTTCTAAAATATTTCATCTAACAGAAAAATATTTCTGCAGTTAATACAAATAAGTTATCTGCATTAATTTTCAAAACAACTTTGTTTTGAATTGAAAGATTAGAAAATTATAATTATAAAGATTATTATAACTCTGAAATAAATTAATATTATAAAAACTTCATGATTTTCGCTCCAAAACAATGTCGTATTGGACTTATAACTTATCTGCAGTAACTAACTGCAAACGAAACGAACCCTTCATCTAAATATAAAATAGTTTCAATTTAAAAAAATCATTTTGAAAAGAACAATGCATAAAAGAAAATTCAAAATTATATCCAAACAACCCTATATCTTCGCATTCAACACGTGTAATTTGGCTGAAATTCTCCCATAAAATCTGCCACGTTCACGGCCAACGTAACTATATCGAACTTGTAATTTAGCACTACATTCAAAGAATTTTCGAATTTATTCTCCATAACCTTGAAGATGGTTCCCTTATGTTGGTTTTCTTCCATTCCCTTGGGATTCGTTGACTATTGGAGCAACTTAAATGAAAAGGGTTATGTTATATGTCTAATACAAAAATTAAGAGCCGACGGTGATTTCTGTTTGATCTCGGATCTCAATGGGGTGAGCCGAGCCAAATTTTAATTTTAAAAGATTAAATTTATGTTTAACCTAACCTGTTATTTATTATGAATGTAATTATTAGCATGTGATATAATTTATTTACAAAAAATATTAATTTGCTTTAACTTGTTAGCTTGTTAAAAAAATAAGATAACAAAAATTTATCCAAACAGAATATACGATCAATAACACTAATAATTTCATAAAAATTTATAAATTCAAGTATATCTAAATAGCATAATATAAAACAAAATCATTCAAAAAAAAATCTATTTAACCAATAAAATAGGGTGAGCAAATAGAGATGACTATTATGAGTAATATAAAAAATTAAAAATAAAAATTAATAACTTTTATACAAAATTAAATCTGATTTCAACGACGAATTTTAAATATACAAGTGCAGGCATTCACAAATTGGGCCAAGTATCTAGTTTAGTTTAGCACCCTGCCTGAGTTCCGAACTTTACTATTTGAAAAGCTTGGTATTGGGGCTTCGCCCCCTAATGTTATAAAAAAAAAAAAAAAAAAAACTTGGTATTAATCGCTTGGCTCATCCGTTTATAACTTTATATTATAGTCGCGCTTTTTGAATGGGAAATTCCACTTTAAATTTGCAATTTGTATTTTTTGTTAAAACCAATGTTTAATGGAGCAGTTTCGTTTCCCAAACAAGCAACTCATTTGGAATTACAAATTTGGCAACATCTGCTGCTAATAGAATTGAAATTTCATTAGCTACAGATTGTGCACTAAGTTATTGGCAAAATGGCAAAAGAAATGGTGCTGCATGCCATATACAGTATAATGACCCAAAATGATAAATTTTAATTAGAGATTTAATTTAAAGATTTAAATGTCATAATTAGATTCACTGAGTGATTTCGAGTATTTTGACTGTAATCATGACTATGTTATGAACCGTGCGTTCTGTCGGAGAATTCGCAATCTCGTGAATTAACCGGTAGAGCTTAAATAAGCAAAATGATTTTAGAGACATAATTTGACAATTCTGACGACAAATATGAGTTCAGAATGAAAAATTGTATAGTCTGGCACTTTCCGTGAAAATCTCGTGAATAGTGTTTTTACCGGGTATTTTGTACTGCTGTTTAAGCAACCGGTAGAGTCCAGAAACAAATAATTGATGAAATAAGAATAAGAAAGTCCAATATATGTCAAGCTAGTCAATATAGGCCCAAGAAAATGATAAGTTTATAAGTTTCAAATTTCATAAATAAACAAAGTACAGTTAGTGGTTTCCAGTGCATTTTGTCAAAAACGGTGCAGAAACCACACTGCGAATTATGAATAGTGTTACTTAGAAAATAAAAGTTAATGTAAATGACTTTAGAAAAATAAAAATATATTTGTAGCTTTGAGTTAGTTCCGGGTTAATTTAAGTGAGAATACGCGAAAGAAAAATACCCGGATAAAAGCCACATATGCTATAAAACATAAGTGCCTTATGTGATCACTATTCACTCAAAGAAAAACACTCTTTTCTCTCTCCTTGGGGCCGAGCAGCAGCTATGGAAAGGGGGCTAGGGTTTTGGTTTTTGCTTCTTTGATTTCTCCTCCAATATTTCACCAAATCTTTCACCCAATATACCAATCTCATAGGAAATCATCCAAGGAAGCTATTTCACCCCTCTATTTGAGCTGATTTCGTTTGTGGAGGGAGATATTCATCACTCTATTTTCAAGTTACTTTTCATCCAAGGGAAAAAGTGGAGCTTTTCATGGAGCTTTACTTAATGGATGTCATCTAGGCTTTGGGTAATTGATTAGAGGTAACAAAACTCTAACCCTATGACTTTAGTCTTGTGATTTATGTTGTAAAATCTATGAGCATGTTGTGAGTGGGGAATAATTGATGCTAGAATGTGAAATTTATGATGGATTATTGTTGTTTAGGAAGTTATAGTGTTGAGTAAGCATCCACATGTGATAAAAAATTGAAAAGCCCTATTGCATTTTTCCTCCTAGGTTTCGACCTTCATGGAGTGTGTAGGGGTTATTGTGAAAAAAATTATATTATGTATTGTGAAGGTATAATGTGTTGGAAATGAGTGAAAATGGATGAGTTAGTAAAAATGCCTAAGTAAAAAGGACTTGGTGTCTAAACTCAAAATAGGAACCTAGTGGAAGCATGCCTAGGTGTTTGCAAGTTGTAAGGAAGTAAAGAAAATATATTGTAAAAGAGAAGGATCTTTGGAAATTCCCCTTATAGGATTCGACCTATAGGGTATTTAGGGATATATTTTGTACATTTTATTTTAAATAAAATGTGTAGTAATAAATTGTATAAAAGTGATGAGTTTTGAAGAAAAATAGCATGATTTATGTTGAAAATTCCTAAGGGAATGGTTGATTAAATTAAAGAACACCAACGGTTATAAAGAGGTCTAGACTTGTGTATTGGCATAGGATTGGCAAAAATGCAAAGAAATGAAAATAAGCGATAAAATGTATGCTTTGTGAAAGGATCATGGCATAGTATTATTTTATTGATTTTATTGTAAATTCTTCTCTAGGTGTGCCTAGGGATTGAAAAGGAGTGGAATGCTATTGAAGCAATATAAATAATTTGTGCAACAAGTAAGGGTATTGGTAAAGCTTCAAGAGGTAAGCTCTATGTTTAAGGAGTCTTTTCCTACTTGAGTGCTCCACCATGGTTAGTGAACTGTGGTTGGATTCTATGACTGTTTTTGGATGCTTTGTATAAATGCATTCATATAGAGTTATTTGATGATATGATATGTTTTGTTCTGATATGACTTCGATAATATGATTTCTGTAATAATCTCTGGCCATTGATTGTATAGTACCCTGATGTCCGCTTTGGGGTCCTCTCTCGGGAACACGTGCGTTGATTTTCGCTTGGGGTCCTCCCTTGGGAATGACGGCGCACATCTCTGATATGAAATGGATATATGCTATGTTCTGTTATGATATCTGTTATATGTTGTATTCGTATACTCTGTATCTGACTTTCATGCAGGAGTGAGCCAGGGGTATAGAGAATTCTCTATAAACCTGGAGCTTATTGAGATTTGTAATCTCACCCCTCGTTGGGGCCATATTTTTAAGTGCCCAGGTTTCCGGTGAGACCTCTCTAGTCAGGGACACGACCCGTAGCTGAGGATTTTGGACGTATTGGATTTTGAGTAGCTGTAGGCTACTTCTATTTTGGAGTATAGTGCTTTCACTTAGTATTTCAGTATTTTGTGGATCATGATGTTAAATCCTTTATTTTGTATATAGCTTGTATATGTTTTGTACATGTCTGTCAGTTTGATGCATGTACATTTGAGTATTCAAGCACGTTATATGATGATGTAGTATTCAGATATGTTTACGTTTTGGATTGCATGCTGTTAGATATAGCGGCACTGAGCCAAGTTATGCATGCGCCCATGGATGGGTATCTGATTATATCTGCATGACTGGTACTTCTGGATTGATGTGCTGTATAAACTATTTATCAGGAAATGCATTTGAGTGGGATTGGAAAATCCCTAGTTGTCCAATTTATAAAGGAAACTCTGCCCGATTTTCGTTTACGCCGAGTAAGAATTAAAGTAGAAAAAGAAAAAGTTAGCTCGTATTTTTCGTAAGTTAAGTCTTCCGCTGTTTCTGTTTATATCACATGCATGTTAATTGAACCGGCTCGAGACGGGATGTTACATAAGGCAATAAAATTTTACTGAAAATAATGTTATTTTTATGAGAAAAATATTTGTTCTTTTAAAGAATATAATTTTATGTAATTTTAAATTCTAATCAATGATTTCTGTCAATCAACGGTTAGAATTTATTAGGTCAAATTTATTAATTAATTAATAATTCATAATAAAATCCAATAAATCTAACCGTTAATTAACAGAAATCAATGATTAAGATCTAAAATGATATAAAATTAGATCCTTTAAAAAAAAAATATGATTTGCAAATAACAAAAATCACTTTTAGCCAACGAACACTCTTCCCTTGGCATTATTTTATCATCTTCACAGTTTGCTTTCTATCAATTCTGTGCGCGATTGTGGGGTTGTTGCAATAGAAAATTACTTTTATATAGAAATTCTTATCTGGTATTGGAATCAATGAAATCTTTTATTAACTACTTTTTGATTGGTTTATTACTTTAGCCACATGAGGGTACATGTGTAAAGAAA